GTGGCACACTAGGTAGAAACGCCATGCCAAGTGCCTCGGAGCCCTTTGGAGCGCTCGGCGCCCTTGACATGCAAAACCCAAGCCAGGGCCGGCCTCGGGGACATCTGGCCGGTGCCCGTGGCCCATGCTCAGGAGGGCAGCTGCGCCTGCGGTTCACCGCTCCGTGAGGGCCATATCGAAATTCTTACTGATTCGATCCTCCAGTCTGTGTTTTGCATGTGGAGTCTCATGGAATTTGGGAGCATGTTCGGAAGGCTTGGCACCTCGGGGCACGCGTGATGCAGCTGCTCACGGTCCCCTCACATCCTCAAGAAAGGTTCTTGGCTCCCCCGCTCCCTGGCATCCTAGCACCCCAATATTCACCCGACCTCTCCCTCCTCACTCCTCGTCCCAAAGCCTTGTCACACTGCGCCCTGGAGGGACATAGACGTGGGTGCAAGGAGGGTCGGGGTTGAGAACGCGTGTCCCCAAGTGTCCCAGAATTTAGTGGCTGTCATCATCCCATGCTGGTGGCACCATGTTGTGTCTGTGGGTGGCCAGCCAGAGCCCACGAGTCCACGGGAAGAAGCCGATCGCCCATCCCTGACACATGTGCCCCGTTGGCTCCAGGAGGAGGCTGCGACACACCTGGGGGTTGCCTGTCTGCTCGGGGTGGGCTGACGGGTTGGAGGGGAGACCCCCGCCCCAGCTTCCTGAGGCTTCGTCCAGAACAAAGCACCGTGCATTGGTCTAGCAGCCAGCGGAATCGGGCGCTGGGAAAGGGTCATGCCCGAGGAAGTGCGTGTGCACGCCTGTGCCCTGCGAGGGTCTACACACATCCCGCAGATCTGTGCCCGGGGCGCGCGTGGGGGTGTCCCTCTCTTCCCCCTCCCCACGGCCCTGAGTCTGGCTTTTGCTTGTCCGTGCAGCCACACCAACGCGCCCTTCAGGGCCAAGCCGGGAAATCCAAACCCTGTAACGCTGGTGACCCCACACACAGAGGACACGCGCGCACGTTTGCCCACAACGCTGGCAGCGCGCGCCATTAAGGCGGACGGTAAAATCTAGGCGCGGTTAAGAATTGTTCTTTCCCGAGAACAGCGTGGATTTAGCAACTGTGAACGCGTGGCCGGCGGAGAGAGGACAGCCGCCGGCGAAAGGAAAACTGCATAATTGTAGTTTCTTCTAGACTTTTTTTCCCTGCACTTTGAACCACGGACCACGTGTCCTCACTTCGTGCCGGGCCCCAAAGGGCAGAGAGGCGGCCCTGGAGCAAATGAAACAACGAACCAAGATAGTCCTGAAAATAGACAGAAACGCGCGGACCGGTGGCCGTCCTCACCGGGGACCCGGCTCCGTGGCCCGTGAGCCGTGTGACCGGTCAGTGTCCTCAGCAATGACAGGGGACGAAGCGAACCTTCCTCTCCCTTGTGTAGCTGCTGTGAGAATTCACACGGCGCTCGGAAGACACCCAGAACGGCCACCAGTACCAACGAAGCCACCGGTTAGTGGCGGCGCCGTTATCACCACCCCTGTGACTACCTCCCCGGTCGCCGCGCAGCTACGGGTCTCCCACCGCACACAGGACAGGCTGGGAGGTCAGGAAGGTGACCTGCCCAAGCCGCGCGCCCGCAGAGTGCCCAAGCCTGGCGCAGAGCAGATGTGCCTGGCTCCAAACTCACCGCCCTGCTCCATACGCCGGCCCAGAGCTCACCTTCATCCCGCTGATGGGGCGATGCCCTTTGCGCCCAGCTCCGCGGGCGGGGTTCTAAGCACATGCGTCTGTGACACGTGCGAACTTGACCCGGCAGCGTGGCGAACGCCTGGCCGCGGCGCCGCGGAGGCGCACGCTGCCACCCTGTGAGGTGCTGGCTTGAACCGAGCCTTCTCACGCGGACCAGCACTCAGCGGTGAAGTGGGGCAGTCGGGACCCCACCCCCCTTTCATGTGAAATCCTAAGCTCGTCCTGGCCAAGGCGGCCCTGATAATTAGGGCAACTTCCATCCCCTTTCCCACCGGCGGGCATCAGTATCCAGACTGTCTTGGGCTTTCAGGCAGGTTGACAGCCACGTGGCTGAGGGGGCGGAGGGGGGAAGCCGAGCCAGACCGCAGACGTGGGGGCATCACGCGTGCATGATCTACCTGCAGACCTCAGTCTACCTGCTGCGGGGTTCGGAGGCCTCAGGGGCTTGGGAACTGCTCCGAATTGGGGTGAAAACATCAGACCCTACGTAGGCCAGATACTCAAGATCACGCCCCTGGTGGCTCTCTGTGTCCACTATGAGTGCACAGGTGGGGTCCTTCCTAGCCAGGCCCGGCAGCTTTCACACCTGAGCCCACGCCCTTGGCTGGCCCGCAGGCCGGAGGCCAGCCTTCCTCCATCCTTCAAAACTCACCCGGACCTGTGCAAGACACTTAGGAACGGGCGGCCGGTCCAGAAACAGCCTTCTGCTGGCGCCTCCCTGCGCAGGCAGGGTGGGGTGCAGGGCGGGGTAGGGTGAGGTGCTGGACCCCCCTGGACGCGCCCTGCGGAAGGATTCCGCCCACTAATAAACACCACATGCGCCGTAAGGAGTTGGCTGCAGCCGGGCTCCTCCACGTTCCCCCAATTATTTTTAAAAGGGGGAGGGACAGCGAAGCTTGACTTTTATGAGGAGAATGAGCCGCTGTCTTTTTCAGATCTTAAGAAAGCCTTAATCCCTGCAATTTAGATAAATCGGATCAGCGCGACAGGTTAGGGGTAAACCTCGGGCGGCGGCTTCGCAACTGATTGCAAAAGCAGCAGTTATTAAGTCCTAACGGTAATTTGCAGCTTATTTCACCCCAGCTAATTAAAACGTAATCGGGATTGTCTGGCACTGTGTGTTCTGTCAGCGGTTTCTCTTCCAGGGAGAAACCACGCCAAGAGACCACAAGAAAAGCCTTTCATGGGAATTGGCTTGATCTAAACGGCTTCTTTAGCCGCTGGAACTGTAAAACAAATAAATTACAGCAACTGACAATTCAGTAAAAAGAAACAGAAAGAAAAAGATGCTCTTTCTGCAGGGAGCGGGCCGTCCTGTTTCGCCGTATTGTCTGTTGTTGTCTGCGGAGGGTGACTTGCGGGGCAGGGAGGGGCGCGCTGTTGGCACCGGGTGCCTGGGGACGAGCCCTCTCGGGGATGTCCCCGAGGGGGACGAGCCCTCGCTTCTCCCCTCCCCGAGACCCCGGAGGAGCGCGGGGCTGTCAGCTTCTCTGAAAGCCGCTGGACGCTGCTGCTTTGGGAACGAGCAGAAAAGCGCACCGAGGCACACGCAGGCTTCGCGAGCCGGCTCCATCTCCCCGCGTCCCGGATTTGGTTCTCCCGCTGCTGCCTTCTGCGCGAGGTTCCACCTGCCCTCACGCAGCTCCGAACATCGCCGAAGGCCACGGAGATTCGTCCCAAAGTCCCGGGTCCTCACCGTCATCTCTCTCTCAGCGTAATCCCCAGGCCCCCGAGGAGGCCCCCTCTCCGCGCCCAGAGAGTTTCTTAAGGGCAGAGGGCTCATCTCAGAAACCCCTAGGGAGCCCCCCCCGACCCCAGCCCGCCTCCTCCTGGGCTGCGCAGTGCTGCCTGCCGCAGAAGTTGGGGGTCTTAGAACAGGTGAGCAGCTAAGGATGGAGGCGACAAGGCTAAGCAGAGGACGATGGCACGGGAGAGAGATGAGCTGTCCCCACCGGGGAAGGCAGCTGCGCGCCGCGCCTGGGCTGAGTCCCGGAGTGAGTCCCGTGCGTCCCCGCCCCCCAAAACCCCACGCAGGTCCCCGCGGGGGTCCCCG